GTGTGTGTGTGTGTGTGTGTGTGTGTGTGTGTGTGTGTGTGTGTGTGTGTGCACGCAGCCACACTGGTTACCAGGCAGGCTTTGCTGCTGCAGCACAAAAAACTGAGACGAGAAAAGCCGAACATGAGTTTTGTTTCTCCAGACGTCTCCATGCAGGTGTTGCTGCTGGATTAAAGCAATCTGTCACACCGTTCTACATAAACCCAACATCATCTTCACTAAAAAGATGCTGCCTTTGTCTTCAGAGTGGGGACAAAACAGGATTAGATATACGTTTTCTTCATTTACTGCTCAAGGCAAAAGTTTGGACACACTTACCTACTGAGTTTTGATGTAAAAGGACACAGTTTTAAACTTAATACAAGAATACAATCCAGGGCTATTCAGCTAAATTGCTCCAGGGGCCACAGTTACTGCAGGTCAACAGCTGAGGGGCCGAACATCCAGCATTTAAAGTTATTTATAAATAAACCAAGTATGACAAAGAGCTGTTATCTTTGAAATGTTTTATTTTGCTGCATTTAATCATGAATACAACATACAGAACCCTGTAAATGTAGTCATAATTCAACAATATCAAAAATAAAAAGAACACATTGTAAGAAAATACGTGTTCAATTCAACTAAAGTCAAGATGAAAACACAATTGTTAAATAAAATGATTTGTGAAAGGAATAAAGTCATACAACACCAGCCATGTTTTTAGCATGCCTYCTATTTGACACAAATATTATTTTTGACATCTCTGACTTGCCAAATTTTTAAACCAATTTTATGTTCACTTTCATAGTTCTATCTTCAATTGGTTGTAGTTTTAACTGTCTTGAGTGTGCTTAGGAATGGTTTATACCAGCTTGTAGCCAAGGTTCTGATGTTTCTGTAGATACCAAACATGTCTATGTCTAGCTAAAAGAACTTGGAGTAATTAAAGTAGAAAACCGGGGGTTTGGGCTTAAGAGATGATTGAACCAATTGACGGGCCAAATATTTCCCTTTTTTCTTCTTTTTTGGTGGGAATCAGAAAGCCACATCTGAGGTGAGCCAAAAATCAAGCACTCGTCTGTACCTCTTTGAGTTATAGTGCCACAAGGGTCAGATCTAATGTTTCTAGAATGGATCTGAACCATGAAAAGCTCGACGTTTTCTCCTCTCCGGCAGGGAAAGATCTCTGAGTCTCTGTCAGGAACATGGGCCAGGTTTCACTTACGAACTGGTTGGCCAACACGTACTGTCAGAATCTTGAATGGGCCTTTGTTGAATACCTTCCTCTGTTGCAATATGAGTGCTCAGACAAGGATGAGCACTAGGACCCCCCCCCCTCCCCCAAATCCTTCCCCGATATCGAACTCTCAGTTCTCTGACACATTGTGTTTCTCCTCTCCTACAAGCATTGTTGTGAACCATATCTCAGTACAGTTTTATTGAATTGTTTGCTTGAATTAATCAACATTTTGACTAAATTCAGCAACCAGTAAGAATAAAAACTGACTTTTACCCCAAAGTCTTCAGAAATCCAGTCCTGTTTAAATGCACCGACTAAATAAATGTTAAAGCAAAATGATAAACTCTAAACTTGACTAGACTGAAAAGCATGGAGGTGTTTTATCCACTCTATCTCACTCACATCTCCATCTAGTGGGCATGTGTGCACACAGTGTATGAAGACCTCAGATCTAAAGCACCCAAGAAATGTCCTTTTATTGAAACGCAGATGAAATAAGCAGGCAGGAAGTTGCTTAAAATTCAAATCCTGCTGCATTCTTACAAACAGTCATGTATATAATTTAAATCCCTTTAACCAGGAAGTTTTCTGAACCAAATGGATCTCTTCTGTTTTTGTTGACGAGGTTTTGGTGAACCCTTCAGGATGACCAGAGGGAGTTTGATTTCTTGGTCTCTTACAAGAGGAACATCAAGTGTGACCTGTAGAAGAAGAAACCACATGCATGCACAGAGAAGGTCATTACTTGGCCAAAATGTGTTGTTTAGATTAGTGTTTAGAGTAAATGTGCTTCGCTGTACCCCACCCCCCAACCCCAGCAAACAGCAGCGTCTACTAAATGCTGTTAGACAAACGCTTCTGAGCGGATGGCATGATGGAACAGGTTGAGCTGTAATCTGAAACCGTTTCCTGGACAAACCATGAGGCATTAACCCCAACCCCTCCACAATCATTCTGTCTCATTCTCCTACTGCAGCCACAGTGTGGCACTGTTTTGTTAATGCAAGTGCTTAATAGTTCTTTTAATTAGTAAAAATAAATGTATTACTTAAGTTAAAGGCAAATCATTCCTTAAGTTAATGCATGTCACCCACTGCCTTTATACCAGTTTCAAAACTGAGATTACCTTACTGAAGTGACAATAAAAGCAATTTAGAGGAAACCTCATGAATAACATTTTTTGCAAACTTGGGATATTGTGAAATCTTGTGAGGTGTGTTAGTGCTCAGAGTATATCATGTCTATCAGATACTACTACTACTACTACTACTACTACTACTACTACTACTACTACTACTATTACTACTAGTACTACTACTACTAAAATTAAGTTAAATTAAATAAAATGACTACCGGTAATTTAAAGCTATTTTTGTATTGGTTAATGTTGATTATTGTTGAAATGACTCCAAAAGTTAATCATTTGTAAATATACAGCCAAAGATTACTTCTAGTGTGTTTCACTGAGAGCTCTTCATTGGTTTGTGAGATATTTTGCTAACAGTTCATTACTGTTGATGCCAGTAGTTATTGTCAATGTTTTGAGTATAAAGACTGCACATTGTGTAGAATGATGCTCAGCTACCATCACATTATATTTTACCTCTACATCTGTAAAWTAAAGTTACTTAAATGTATTGTAGCTCTTTTCAATTTCTGAAGATCAGCTGGCTGTGGTGGTCATCTTAAATTGTGTCTATACCAAAATTGAATCAGTTATAGATGTCAGCCTGKTGATTGTTTCCTGAAGTTTTCATTAAAATCTGTGTAGTTGCTGATGAGATATTTTGCTAACAAGCTTATAAAGTTGAATTTAACAGCAATAGTAAAATAAATTTATATACATAATCTTCTTCAGTTAGCAATTTAATTATGTGCTGGGGAGAGGTATCATCTACTAACACTCATATACAGGTAAATAACCATAAAAGTGGCTGAATCATAGCTATTTTTGTGTTTTCTATGGTTGCTTATAGTTTTGGCAGACATCTTTAATGGCACTGACTCTGAGAGATACTGTAATTACTCATTGATTACTTTCTGTGAGTTTAATTCAAATTTTACCATTGGTTCAAGAAATATTTTGCTAACTGAACAGATAAATGAAAATACAAACACAGGCGAAAACATAACCGCTCTGCCGTCACTGTGAGGTGATAACCAGATGTTTACTCAGAGTATTAATGACTTTCTGTTTTTACACTTTTTCATACTAAGGTGCAAACTTACACAACTTGTTTCCAAGAGAATTTAACCCATCAACAATATAAATACCTTGATTCTGTACTCCAGCTTCATCATGCAGCAGTTGAAGAAGGTAGGGGGCAGTTGTGGAGGGATAATCAAAACCTTGGTTAGAGAGCAACTGCTCTCAGCTGGAACGGAGTCTCCTGTTCCAAACAAGATGTCTCTTGTGTGTACTCGCTTTGTCGACTGAGCTACAAACGTCTGCTTCTCACACACGTAGAATTTGGGCGTTACTGAGCGGGCCGATTCGTTGAGCACTTCCACAAAGACCCCCATAGCCTCACCTGTTTTATTTAAAAGGAACACATATGTTTGGAAAAAGACAACATCAAAAGATTTGTTATCTGTGCAACCCGTTTACCTTGCTTTAAGCCCATTTTTTCAGAGGTCACCGTCATTGTAACCTTTCCAGAGGCAGCAAATGAAATCCTGGTTGCAGACTGTTGCTCCTGCAGTTGTATACAAACACAGAGGTTTGTTTCTCAGTTTGTTAGAGTTAAACTGACAGGAAGCGGGAAGTAGAATCAACAAAGGGATGTCCCACCTTAAGGCCGATGATTATCATTTCCGATTTGGAGGCAAACGGAAACTCAGACTTGGTCAGAAAAGGGATTTCCGTTTTGGTTTTGTGTACAAGCCAGATGGACTGGGTCAGACGTGCTCTCAGACTGTATGTGATCTCACCCCATTTTCCTTTATAGGATGAAGGCATGTCTCTGTGAGGACAAAAGTTTGTGATAACAATGCATTTTTTTTTTTTAAATGAAAGCCTTACGTTCCTGGAAGGAATGCAAGATCACCTGCCTCCTTTCATACCAGAGTTTTAGATTAGGAAATGCTAGGAAAGGACAAAGTTGTAACCATTCTGCTCGAACCTTAAACATGGACACATGCACAATCTCATGATAATGTGGGATCTCGCAAGCTGTATCAAGAGTTTTAGATGTACATACAATGATTACTATTTGAATGAGTTTCATTAAAATAGATCTTCTGGATCATGAAATGATTTTCTAATGCCACAGACTAGCTCACACCCAGAAACACCAGCAAAAGCATTACTGACTTTATGTCTTTGGCATTGGCAGGAAATATCAGATTAAAACGCATACCTATTTGGAATAACAAAGCTGAAAGGATACACATTTGTTCCAGGTCCCATGATTTCAGAACCTTAAAAAAATAACATTTTTATGACTTTCAACAAGATGGTTTTAGACATCAAAATATTATCCAGCATTGTTTTTTTTAGCAAAATACTACAAACCATCTCCTTTGTTTTTATCCTGAATAATAATTTGTTCAAAGTAAAAGTATTTTTTCTTGTTGCTGCGGACAGCTGGGGTTTGTCCTTCCTGTTCACACCAAGTGACTTTAGCTTTTCCTTTAGCTCTGACCAAAAAACTCTGCACTTTGATCTCCTTGCTGGTCACCACCATCACTTTTCCAGAAAGAACGTCCCCAGGAGAGTAGGTGCCTTGCTCATTCAACCTGTCGTACTCCACTGAGAAATGTTTCACAGTCATCACGAGGCGACTTCAACAAGCTTCTAAAACATTGTAAGAAGAAGAGTAAAAATGGAATTCTTTAATCGTCCCGCAGATTGGGTTTGTGTTGCTAAAGTGAGGCCTCCCCTTGTTGAATGAGGATGACTGCATCTGCAGACGTCCAGAAAACCTGCAGCCGTGACGAACATGATCACATGATCACATGATCCGGTCTGCAGGTGTCATTTTCCACTGGGTAACTCAAGCCAGCAGCGTTGCAGAATAAATTAGGTTAAACGAATGAACAGTGGGACGACACTCTGTATGTGTGTAATTTTTTTATGAATACTGTTAAAAATAAAAACAAATCAGAATCACAGTTTAGAAAATCAAAATACATAACGTGCAAAAATGCCTAAATACATTGTTAATAAAAATCTAGCTTGTTCTTTCTAATGATACAAAAACATACACACAAGAAAAACAAATGCCTGATATATTAGAGTTAATGTAATTCCAACAAACTATACAAAACTTTCACATGTCTAGCATACATTATTGATGTACACTAATAAATTCATGCACAATGTTTGATCACTGATATCTCCTCAGAATGGCTCTTTACAGAATGTAATACTACAGTTCAGCAGCAGCTTTCTGGAATGGTTCTGTTCATGTTTATGCAGCCATCTCTCATTGTTTTATCCTGGTGAAATTCCTTGATCTTTTGGTTGCAGACCTCTCATTAATACCATGTCACCATAGTGAAGTGTTGCAGATTTTAGTCATCCATTTATGTGGCTGGGAAACATTAGGATTATTTATCCTAACGAGCTTGAAATCACTATTCCCAAGGAGATGTATCCTTTATCTTGGTTCTTTGGTTCATAATCCTTTGGTTTTCCTCTTTATGTACTTAGTCTGGTTTCTTATCATAGAACAGTTTACTGTGGGAACCCTACCACTTGGGCTTACGGCATGTTTTATGGCATAAAAGTGTTGCCAGTACATTAGAGACAATAGCTTTTGACCAGTAAGAAAACTGCTGAATAATAATGGTCAGTGCTTTAGGGGTGCAAAAGCACAAGCACTCCCTGTTAAAACAGATATTTACACTGAATTTGAACATTCTGTAGGAGTAAAGGAGGGTACACAGCAAGTACTTCACAGGATGGTAGAGGATTGACGGTCTGAGAGTCTGTAGATCTCAATCTGATTTTCTGTAGCTGGAAACAGTGGGTATGTTTCAAATACGTCATAGGATGGTGGAGGATTATCAGCTTGAAGCGTGTTGCTCTGGGATGGCTGGTTTTCAAATCCAAAGCTCTCATAAGCAGGTGGGAGACTGTCAGGTGACTCATCAGGTAGGATGACAACAGACAATTTGACCTCTGGGTCCGAGGCACAAAGTATATCTAGGTAGATCTGTAAAAAAGGAGAAATGAATGAATAAATACATATATTAACTTAATTTGGTCCACATGCCAATCATTGATTGTCAGTGATTCAATTTGTAAGTAGCTGTTATGATAAGAACAGGTACCAGAGGTACCTGTTCCATAGGTTGTGGTTTCTGGGACTGCTGACAAGTGGTATCATACTATATTTATGTATAAATCACAGTTCTGCATTACCACAAAATGCCATGTTTTATTTGTGTGGTGGTTAATCTTGTCGATGTTTTGAGAGACACAACTGCATTAATTGATGAGGGTAATTGAAGCTATAGGTTACAACTTCGGGTCAGCTCTGGTGGTGATTTGGGGAACCCGGACAGTGCCAGTCTGCCAGAGCTCTAGGATCTGTTACAACTGCTGTGGGACAACTTATTGCAGGAGAAAATACAACAGCTTTGTAACTGCGTTGCACAATGAATCACTGCATGTATACAGGAATTAATATGTGCCACAACCTATACTGACACAGTGAAGGAAGCAATCTGTCCATTCTACCATCTTTGTTGTTCAATATCTAATGTTAATGTCACGCAGAACAATCACATGATGTGCAGTTTTGTTTCATTTCCACTAATCTGACTGAGCACTTTACTTTTTCATGGTGAATGCAGTTTCTTCAYACTATCACCAGAGGTCTCTGTGAAAAGATTTTCTGCTGGTCAGATTTGTTGAAGTCACTTATTGTTTAAAAGTAATCACAGTGGTTACTTGTGTTATTATGTTTTAAGCTTCTGTGGTTGTTTGGAATAATTAAAGAATACCATATATATATATAT